AACAGTTAATTTTAGTTAAAAACCATAGATTTTACAATTTCTATACAAATCTTAAAATAAATAATTATAATATTGTCACATTACGTACAAAAATACACTAATAATTAAATTTTAATGAAATTATTTAAAAAAATTTCAAAAAATTAATTTTGTTTATTTTAGTATAAATATGACAATTCTTGTAATTACAGACACTTTTAACAAAAACAATAAGATGTATTCAAATTCAACAAAAAAAACTCTAAAATATCAGTTATACAGGATGAATTTTGACAATTTTTTTGAAATAATTAAAAATGTAATTAATGTTCTTGAATATCTGAAGATGATCATATTATTGTCTAAATATCTTAATTATTGAAATTTCTATGAATATTTAAAAAAAAATATGGGTTAATTTCATTGAAACATATAAAATATAATAATTTGTAAGATTGTATTGTTAAAAAAATTTGTTAATGTAAGCTCTGGATAGTTTGAAAAGTATAAATCAAAATCAAAGTTGGCTTAGGTGTCATATGCATTGTGTCATACGTCCGAGCGGCTGTCAATCAAAGCAACGGATTGAACGAATTACACGACGAAACATTGATTTATCAATCTCTCTCATGTACATATACTCTTGTACATACACAAACGAATATGTATATATACGAATTGGATACAAGCATCATCCCGATCCCTGTGCAATCCCTTCCCTTCGGCCCCCGACTCCCGGCCTGTCAATGCTGTGAGTATTAAAGCGTTTGCTTGTCATCGTCGTTGATTGAAACGTGTTTTGGTGATCGTTCAGTTGATAAAACGATGATTTACTTAATTTTCCACTTACCCGCTACTTCAGATGTATTTATTTATTATTTTCCCAAACAAATAAACTTCTTCTTCGTCGCAGCAGCAACAGCAGCAGCAACAGAAGTCAACCAACCATTCGTGTTTCACGTAAACAAAACAACAACTTTGACAGACATAGGTTCTACGTACTGGATTCTATAATCATTTACGTTTTTTTTTGTGTAGACCAATTTGAAGACGTTATTTTTTTATATAATGGATAAATATTATTATATAAGAATGTATACAGTTTCAAATACCAAAAAAAAATACAAAAAACGGATGATTTATACCATTTTTTTGAAGTAATTAAAAACGTAATCAATTCTATTGACTAAATCCTGAAAATACTCGTAATTCTTCAATGATGTTGAATGTCTTTAAATGATAATATTATTATTAATTAGAAGTGAATTTATGGTTTAGAAACTATGAATGAGTTGATAGTAATTCTTGAAAATAGTGTTGATTCTTGGAAGGTAATGTTGAACAATTGATTTGAATAAATTTGATGATGAAGTAAACTTAATGAAACAATTATGATAAAAGCAAATTTCTTGGAAATTACAAACTTTAGTTAACATAAAAATATTACCAAATTATAACTTTCTTTTGAAAATTAATTGATCTTAATATGTGACATGAACTCAAATGTACGAAAAATTAGTATAAAAAAAGTGTTGAAAATTATAGTTAAAGTTAATTTAAATATATGAGCAAAACAAAACTTAATTTAAAAGTGAATAAGTATACAAAACTTGCTGAAAATTACGAATTAGACATTTTTCTAAAGTTTTATCAAAAAAAAAACTTAGTTAATTTTAGTTAAAACCCATAGATTTTACAATTTCTATACAAATCTTAAAAGAAATAATTATAATATTGTCACATTACGTACAAAAAGACACTAATAATTAAATTTTATTGAAATTACAATTTTTTTGAAGTAATTAAAAGCGTAATCAATTCTATTGATTTAATCTTGAGAATACTCTTATTTCTTGAAAAGAAATATTGTAAAATTTGTCTAATTTTATTAGTTTGATCTTGAAAATACCCGTAATTCTTCAATGATGTTGAATGTCTTTAAATGATAATATTATTAATTAGAAGTGAATTTATGGTTTATAAATTATGAATGAGTTGATAGTAATTCTTGAAAATAGTGTTGATTCTTGGAAGGTAATGTTGAACAATTGATTTGAATAAATTTGATGAAACAATTATGTTAAAAGCAAATTTCTTGGAAATTAATTGATCTTATAACAGTGTTGAAAATTATAAATTTGAATAAATTCAAAGTTAATTTAAATATATGAGCAAAGCAAAACTTAACTTAAATCGAATAAGTATACAAAACTTGCTGAAAATTACGAATTAGACATTTTTCTAAAGTTTTATCAAAAAAAAAACATAGTAAAAGCGTAATCAATTCTATTGATTTAATCTTGAGAATACTCTTATTTCTTGAAAAGAAATATTGTAAAATTTGTCTAATTT